AGAGAGAAAGAGATCGGCGCCTACTTTACATTTTATTGCCATCCATAGATTTCTCATCCGTTAAGGCAAAAGAAACGACGCGAGTAGTCACGGCTGCATCGATGCCTCGATAAACTTTCCCGACCGCTCCCCCGCACCCCGCAGCCCCACCACAATTACGCTCCCGAAAAATCGATCCATCTCCATTGTTATGGACGGGAGCTCGTTCCAGGAGCCTTGCTTATACTACTTCTACATTTCGGAATTGCTAGAGGAGGACGGTGACTTTCGAAGGCCGCGCAGCTCTACCGACGTTCGCCAATTTCCATTCGCGTGTTTTTCCTCGTGGCACAAGTACCACTCCAACTCTAAATACAATGTGAAAATAGGTAATTGTTTAACGAGAGGCCCCGCGCTCGCGCAAAAACTACCGCATTGGCTGGAGGGGATTCGAAAGTACGCGGTTTACTTCTCTTTAATGATTTTCTATGATTTATCCTCCGTTAATCGCCGACCTAAACGGCTGAAGCAGCTTTTCCAAACGCATCGTTCACGCTTTATTCCCTCGCTTTTCTCGCTCTTCCTCTTTCCGTCTCTTTTGCCTTTTGAACAATGACGGCTCCTGCAACAACTGACTTCAAATGAAGTAGGTTGAGCGTGCCTGAAAAATGCTACGGGGAGGCCGAAATTATATATGAATGAAGGAAGGCTTTATGTTTTGTCTCTCGTTACCATGATGAAAAATCCGCCTTTTCAACCATAAAGTGAAAAGGATTGCTTAAGATAAGAAAAGAAAAAAGAAGTAATTAATAATTTCGCAATTATGTGAGCGCATTTGAAAAATAAAATTATATATCAGGAGAAAAGGAACAAAGACAAAAAAATTAACACTCCAAAGTAGTTAATTTTTCTCCTCGCATTTCTTCAGCAATAAATAAATCATAATCATCTTCTAATTCGAGTAAATATTACATCAACTTATTGTTCGACTTTTCCATAAAGTATGCGCTGCATTCTTATTTCGAGAGTACGATAGTCAATGGTCGCATTCGTAACAATGATGCATAGTTTAGATGTCTTGGTGAAGTTGAACGGCCTGGCTTCCTTCCTTCAAGTTTGTGTTTTCAAGAAAGATAGAAAGCAGGAAAGATAGAGACATTAACTGTAGGTACATTTGGATAATATAATTGTTAAGCGATTAATTTGCATTTGCAAAACTCGTGACATTATAATTGTGATATTTTGAAAATATTATATTGAAAATTAGCCAATTCATCAAGGACTGTTTGCTTTTTCTGCATTATCTAATCAATAAATATATTATAGAAGAATGATATGTCGTATTATCTCCATTCGATAGTCAATCGTTCCTATATTCAAATGAGATATTTATATTATTTCAATGTTCATACTGTTAAAATTACTGTTTAAAATGCTGGGAGATTTTGTCACAAGAAGGCGCGTGGTTTTAAATAGCAAAACTCGCAAGTTCAAACGTCTTCCATTTATGTATTTATCAAATTAGCATAATAAAAATCCATTCCAACACATCAACGTAACAAACATTACTGTTTTTGCATAAGTAAAATTAATTATATAAGGCTATAAAATTGACGATGTTATCGGCAATGTCTTCGCTATCTCTTCGCTTTACCGCTAAATACCGATAAATTTATGGCATCTTTAATACGGACATTCCAACAATATATTTTCCTTTATTATCATAGTTTTGTAATACGCTTACTACGCTCGTTCATTATTTGCATTTCATTGCACGTTACAACGACCAAAGATATTATTGACGATTATAGTTGACTAGGAGCGCATGTATCTTAATTCTTAATGACCTTTGCTTGGTGAAAATTAAGCCATTCCCAAGTACATGTACTTTAGATCCAAGTACCCTTATAATATACGATTACATTACAGCGTGGAAACCATTCAGCGAACAACAATTCGAATCGAGCAATTCAAATTCTGATTTATAAAAGCCTTTTTTAATTATAAGCATAAGTTTTGAAATTGTCATACACGCCATGCAGTATTAAAATTCAAATAACAACTAAGTGAAAGTTATTTTTCTTTTTTTCTCATTTAACTTCTATTAAGAAACTTGAAATACTCGCTAAAGTGTTTACATGGTCTTGGAAATAGAAAAAAAAATCCATTCACTCTATTTGCACAGAGTTTTAAATGTAATTATTTCAAAAATGGAAGAAAAATAAACGATAATACATAAAAAGTATTCTTAATATGCACATAAAATTTTCCTACCATTACAGATATTTAAACGTGAAATGCTCGGTATGTGCAATTTTTATACGTCAAACGGCAAATAGTAAACGGTGCTCACTACAGCTACGTGCATTCAGAAGTCAATATATAACTTTAAAAGATGGAATGGTAAAAAGAGTTTTCAAAAAATCATCAAAACTTGTACCTACATACAAGAATTACTATTATTTACTTTATATATCGATGATTTCATTTCACGCAGTAGTCATCGAAAGAGATCGAAACACACCTAGAAACTTATGCTAAATAATACTTATTATCATGAAACTATAAAAATACCAACGGAATTGCGCAAAATAATTTTACTGCCCTCTTAAGGTGCCCTTACAAATCTAATCTAAGCCTCATCGTAATTTCTAAAATATAACAATTTGTCAAGCAACTCAGTCATGCGAATAACTTTGCATGTTTTAAATACTTTGCCACAATGATGGAAAGAACTTCGAAGCTTTTTCAACGAATTCAGAAGCGCGAAAGAAAGAAAACTGATGGCCTCGGAATTTTAGTCGCGCGATACCAATCGATGCTTCATCGCATATGTAGGCGCGCAAGAAAAATCAAGTAATTAAGTTCGAGAAGAAGCGAGACGGAAGCTCGGCCCTTTGCAATCGTCTCAACGGATAATCGCAAAAAGTTTCTGTCTACGCGATAAAACTTGAATATCGGCTAAACGCTACGTAGGACAGTGAGAGAGAGAGAGAGAGAGAGAGAGAGAGAGAGCGAAGAGCCAAGCTGCAGCTCGTCCGACAATTTCGCTAATGAGCCACAATCGAGTTGCGGTCCAACTTTGCGTTGGGTGGATCGCAAAGTCCGACAACAGGCTGCTGACCAAAATAGGCACGCCCAAGTTCCATCCAAGTTTCCACGACTGATTGGACGAAGAACGAAGCTGAGGGTAAAAAACGAAGTAAGGAGATTAGCGTCGGTGGCAGCAGCCCAAGTGATTCTAGAGCTTTTAGATACTTCGACGCCACGAGTCAATCGAGTCTGCGCGATTTTTAACTACTCGTATTGCGAAAGAGAGAGAGAGAGAGAGAGAGAGAGAGAGAGAGAGAGAAATGTTCTTCAAAGATCTTTGAACTGGGATCCACTTTTACATAATTTCAGTACCTCGCATTCGACTAACAATTCGTTTTCTCCTTTTTACGTTCAGTCACGTCTAATTGATAGCGTTTTTAACGATACGAATAATTAATTTGACAAATAAAAAATAAACATCAAGTTTCAATAAAATTAGTCGTTTATAATTGTAATTCGAAAATGAATTTCATTTTCATTTCTATTTTTTGTTTTGTGTTTTGATCTATAAAAAGTTTGTCACAAGTATTCGTATAACTACTTCAAAATTTTTTAATTGTAATCTTGATTACACCGTTCATTAAAAATTGAAGTTCAAGTTACTGGTACTAGAATTTAATTTTTCATAAAAAGATCTACTTAAAAATAAATGTTACGCAACATGCAAATACGGTAATTCTATTGAAATGATACCTTTAAGATCATTTTAAAACATTAGCTGGATTTATGCACTTTGATTGATTGATTTATAACCTCACGTACATCAGGTTTAATCTCATTACTTATAAATTATCGTTCCTCTACTATTAATTCCGTATGCTTTAATGGACATTAAAAAAAATCATCACAATGGATAATAAAAAAGTGTACAATACTATATCGTTGAATTTTATTCTTAATTTTATTGTGCATTTAGTTGTATATTAATGTATATTAAAGCTTGACAAATAAAATACTATATATATATATATATATATATATATATATATACTTCGAAGTAATTCGTAAATGCTAATAATACGCAAATTCGTATGAAATATTGTTTATTAGAGGGCATCAATTTGTGTGTCACTTAACTTTTAACAATACAGAAAGTTACTTTCATATATCGACAATGTAAATGTTTTACTTATTTCAATTGCTTCAAAAAAATTTATTAACATTACTGATAAGTATACTTGTGCGTATATCATATTTCATGAATTTTATAATAAGCTTAAACACACTATGTAATGCTTTAATACAGGTGTAATCAAAGTACGTTGTCCTACTATAACTAAAATCTGTTTCGAATCTTAAATATTAAAAAAAAAAAACAAAAAAAAACCAATTAGCATTAATTTGAACATCGCTCTTATATTTGTTAAATGATCTTGATATAAACAGTATTTAACAGGGAGTCGTGAGCAGTCGTCACATTGTTTATACTAAAAAGTGATAAATTACCGAGTCTTACAAAATTTTATGCAGAATTTTTTAAGGTAATTTAATTTTCAGTAAAAAAAAAACAAACAAACAAACAAACAACTACTTTAACGTAATAATACAATTAATGATAAATAAATAATAGATAACAATAATCAATTAGCGATGATGTCGTAGTTAAAGTTATGAAAGTAAAAAATAACGTTACGAGAAAATTTAACCAAATGCTTAGTAGAAGCAGCATTGCAAGCTCCACTTTTATTATCAAAATTCAGTTTATTGTAATATTAATAGTTTGTTCTTACAGTAGAGTGACGATCTCATTCTAAAATACGAGACTTTGGGAGAAAAGTATTTTATCACGTGCTCACGTGTCTTCACACAACACGAGTCGTCGGCACTTGGAATGGATTTTCCAAACAGAATGGCTTTATACGAGGTGAACAAGCGAAATAGTAGGTTAAAGCAGTTGAAAGTACAGTTGTAATGGAGTATATACTTACTTGTCGAGGGCGCGGACTCGCAGGATAAGCGGCTGATCCCTTGCGGGCCACGAAGCGTCGCGACGCACTCGATCGCGATGTCGGCGCAAGGCGGCCGCGTCGTACCAGGCCGGCTCATAGCTACGGATGTACGAGCTGCGAATGATCCCTGAAAGTCCAAATTGTATACATAAATACGTGTGAGCTCATGCACACGAAAACTCACACATATAACATATATAATATATATATATACGAGGCTCGGGCGCCAATTCTCTTGGCGTTTTTTAACATTCGCCGTTACGATACTTGGGATACTGGATTTTTACTGCTTATGAGGATCGAGGTAGCGTTATTCTTAAAATATTCCCAAGGAAAATTGTATCCGAGTTTAGTGCTCAATTTCAAAGTCATCATAGGAATTATATCTTGTTCGGGAAGATCCAACGAGCGCGATTGTTACTACAAGATTACTTTCCATTTCCAACGAATATCTAACTAATAAAATATAATACGTGGCTTAGGGCAATGTCACGTTTTAATTTTTATTCTTTTATATAATTCCCTTTAATTTGGGTTAAGAAGGCTCGTGATTTTATCCAATGAAATGCCAATGCTAATCCCGGGAACGCACGTATATCATAAATTAATTTTTTTTCGCACTGTATAGGCATTTGGAGAATTGGTAGTAGAGGACGAATAATAATGTGTTGCGTAACCGCTTCAATAAGCCTAAGTAGTCGTATTTGGTATTATAATTTCCTAGAGAGCAAGATAATTTCTTTTTCTGGGTTAATTATACGGAAAATCTTTGTGCTAGGTCGTAGGTTCTTCAATATCATTTATACGAATCTGTGTACCATTAATTTCCATGGCAAATGCACGCGTGTATACGGTAAATGCATTTTTTTTTTTTTTTTTTTTTTTCAATTACTTCCTTATCTGTTTGATCTATAGACTAAAGTTACTTGAGAAGAGGGAGGATACAAAGGTGTGTGCATTTGATCTTTACGAGTACATTGTCATAGAGATCGATTATAAAATACCAGGCGCGTTCTAATGATATAACAAAAGATTTTAAATAAATATTTTATCGTCGAAGTGCAAGCCATGAAATACTTTTCTTCGGATTGATTCACAATAAAGATAATACGCTCTATCAGGTAAATATGTAAGTATATTATTTTAAGAAAAAAAAATTATTTTTTTCTTACCGATCTTTTCCAACCAACGACAATTAATAATTTCTGTATAAAATCGCGAATGTTTGAGCAATGCCCGATAAAAAGTTATAACGAAAGAGTTCCAAGAGCGATAACAACTTATTCTTTTTAATACAAAAATATTAAAACGAGCACATTATTTATTATTATTATTATTATTATTATTATTATTATTATTATTATTATTATTTGCAAAAGTATTTTCAAGGATATGTGTTAAGAACTTGCGTTAATATGGATGAAGAAAAGATAATTATAATTCACAACTGTTGAACTTATAATGCAATCATTAACGCGACATGAAAAATAATATTTAATAAAATATCTTGATAATGCGATTAGAAAGGACCAGATAAAGTTCTTCAAGTTTTTAATTTTTTTTTTTTTTTTTTTTTTTTTTTTTTTTTGTTATATGTACATGTGTATATATGGCCATTATAAACGGCGAAGGGCTTCGATTCATGAAACTTTAATTAAGTGTGATTAATGGATCGTGAAAAAGTTCTTTCTTCCAGAAGCTCATATCTTTTATGAATTTTGCAGGGTGAATTCGAAATACGATCGCGCGCTCTTTATAAAACGCAGCGTCGAGGCATTTTCCGATTATTATGGAGCTTTCCTCTCCCCGCACGCCATATCTTCGTACATCGTTTCCCTACCCACATCAACCCTTCAAGAATATCTGAATTTCTCGCGACAAGAGGACGAGCTCTAGCTCTCTAATTTTCGCACCGCCTACCTCCTCCAGCCCCTCACCCCCGCACCGCTATTCTCGTCCTCACCGCAGAGGGCCTTGGCCGCCGTCGCTACCCGTTACAAAGCTACTCGCGACTGCGAGCAGTTTTCCTCTTTTAAACTTGCCGACATTTTTCAATGAATATATTATGCAGGTTTTCCGCAAACGAAGCACGAATAGGACGCGATCGGCGCAAAGTTTTCTCGGCGAGCCGCCTCTGTCGCTACCGCCGCTGCCGCCACCGTCGCTGCCGCCGTCATCGCTGCCGCCGCCGACTTACTGACCGGAATGGAAAGCGTATGGCGTCAAGCGACCCGTGTGCCCTACGCGCAAAAACAGCTCACTTACGCCTAACGCATTATAAAAATGGTGAAGGCGATGCGACGCCACGCGCCACTGCTCCTCGGCCGAGTTCCTCCCTTTTCCCACCTACACTCACTGATATCGATCGGTGTTTCGACTTGACCGGCGCACCGTGAATCGCTCTGCAAGTGTCGATTGCAAGTATTGCGAGGCTTAAGGGAATAGTGCGCTTTCGGCCATTCGTGACACGTGCTTGAAATATTTAAGAGGAGACATTCGGTTATCGAGACGCGCAACAATAACGAGGAATATAACTAGAATATAACCTTTCGAGCAAACGTCGACAATATAATTCGACACTAGTGCAACTAGTTTTTAACGAGAGACTTTTAATATAGTGGATTAAGATTTCCAAAGGAATACCAACTCTCAATTAATTACACGTGTTATCGTTTCACAATAAATAATGATCTTAAAGGGGAATACGGGGAGTCTGCGATCCTAGCATATTTAAAATACAATCAGCCGTTAAAATGACTCGCCGCTCGACTGCTCGAGAATACAATAATAATTTCAATCCAAGTTTATTGAATAAAACGAGGACTTTGGGTGCGCAGATCTTGTGCATTTTGCCGGGTAATTAAAAATTGCGAAACACACTTATCACGCGTTAATCGAACGAAAACATAACTCCAACATAACTCGTACAATATTTGCCAGGACAATATAAAACTCAATAATTTATCGAAACAAAATGCGTAAGATAATAAACACAGCGTGGTGCGTGCTTATATAATATAATATGATGTTGACTGAAATACTCACCGACTAAACCCGACGTGTATTTTCATATTTATGTAGATGCGCACCGCCTATTTAATAAATCTCAACCGAGCCTTTCTCAACTTTCTCCGCGCTCAAGTACTTAAGCTTCGATCTTTCTTTCCAAGCATTTAAAAAAAAATATTATACAGCACACGCAAGGACATGGTATTACGTACGGGCTAGCGAGAGGACAGCATTACGGAGGGGGAGGGGGACCCAGCCCGTCGAATATATCAGAGGAGTCATCGACCAATGGCTTCTTGAAAGGTGGTAATTAGCGAGTGAGGGTAAAGAGCCCGTATTCACGTACTTATGTATTTATGGTACGAAATTCGCCTTTCAATATAGATCATCGATTAATGCATAGATAAATATTTAAATCTAACTGGGAAATTAATCGGCTAGTATTGCATTATGAATGTGAAAATTACTGCTTTTTATTGTGGAGACATCATGGCGTTGACTGCAAGCCACTCTTTATCATATTTCGCTTTATATGTCTCATGTATAGCCGATTCGGATACGTAAGAGCACATACACTAATCTATGCGCGACTGCCCGTCTACGTGCATATGCATACGCGCCCACATTGAAGTGCAGGCACATAACAATAATCATACAGTTGGAAGCGTTTGAGCATTTGCACGTGCACTCTCCTCCATTACCCGGCCACTGTATACAAAGTTAGTCTAAAGTTTCACACATACATTCCTGCCTGTAATTTGAAAAGTAAAGTAAAGGGAGTGCACGTCTCGCTCGTAGATAGAGTTGTCATGGTCTTAAAGGAAAAAAGAAAATGAAAAATTCTTAACACACGATGTAACAAGTCTTATTAGATCATTTAAATAAAAGTCAAATTTTAATTTCCAACGTTAACGGCGTGCACCAAAGACTTTATCGCCATACATCCTTCTTTACGGAAACAAATCTTTTACTAAAGCATCGATGTTACGTAAATACATAATAACGACAACAACCACCACAACAAGAAACATCATAATAATAATACTCACAATAATAATAATGATAATAACAATAATGATAATAATAGTAATAATAATAATAATAGTAATAATAATAATAATAGTAATAGTAAGCTCAAATCGCAAAAGCAAGTACATCATTACATATAACGCGAACAAAAAATTATTAATGATAATTCTAAACATGTTGAGTTGATATCTACTTTCGATGCAATTTAAATTCCATCAATATGATAATATTTATACATAAATTATATGACCATTTAAATGAATAATTAAGTGAACAAATTCATAATTTATAAAAAAAAAAAATTACATCGAGCACCAATATATAATACTGCATTGAATCCGGCACACACACCCCCCCCCCCTCCACCAAGCCCCATTATCAATTTCTCTAATGCTTCCCTGTTGTAATTCCTCTACTTCTTTCAATTCTCATGACTAGGCAAAAGTTCGTCTTCTTTTGATTATGAACGCCAAACTCCTTGATATAAAATTTCCCTATCGACACAAAAAGATAGTTTTATAAATAAATAAGCACTCAAAATGACAATGCTTATTTTTTAACATAATGCGATCAAAATATCATATGTACCAAATGTTAGAAAGATCCCTTATTGTTTTGAACGCGTAACCACCAGCCACAAAGTTAATAAGATTTGATCCTTCATTTGAAACGAAAAAATTTAAAGAAATCTAATCTACGCAATTAAATTTAATATGTAAAAGCGTCGTAATTTTTTTTTACATTTTTTGTTATTGTAATATTCAAATCTCATTATGAGACAATGAATATCTGAGAAATTACTTTATTTGAACCGAACGAAAAAAAAAAAAGAAAAATGAAAAAAGAACTCTAAATTCATTATTATTAACTAAATACTATACGATCGATCAGGCATTTAGAATGTTCAGGTATTAATTATAATTTTTTGTTTTTTCTTATTATTCTATAATATTGTACCTTGTCGTGTGAGTGCAAAATTTATGCGTCTAAATGAATATTCTATTATAATTATTCTTAAGGCCAACTCTAATTGGACAATAGTCTGTTGTTGTCTAGTTCCGAATGATCGAAAATATAATTTCGAATAAT